GTCTCCACTTGGACATTGAGCCGTTGACTACAACTATTTGAGTGCTACCATCCGGCCAATTCCTTATTCACCAGGTGGTCCATCTGTCAAATCCATGTCTCTCCGATTTAGAGACAAGGATGTTGTGTGGGACAGTGTCAAATGCTTTGCACAAGTCCAAGTAGATGATATCAGTCGCTCTTTCCTTATCCACCAACACTGTAACCCTGTCATAGAAGGTCACCAAATTTGTCAGGCACGATTTGCCCTTAGTGAAGCCATGTTGGCTGTCACCAATCACCTCCTTATTGTCCATGTGCCTTAGCATAGTTTCCAGAAGGATCTGCTCCACCATCTTGCCGGGCACAGAGATGAGACTGACTGGCCTGTAGTCCCCTGGGTCTTCCTTTTTTCTCTTTTTGAAAATGGGGGTTGTGTTTCTGCTTTTCCAGTCAGTGGCAACTTCACTGGACTACCACAACTTCTCACATATGGTGGACAGTGGCTTAGCCACTTCATCCACCAGTTGTCTTGGGGCCTGTGAATGCATCTCATTAGGTCTCATGGACTTGTGCATCTTCAGGTTCCTTAGATGGTCTCGAACCTGATCTCCTACAGTGGTTGGTTCTTCATTCTCCCAGTCCCTGCCTTTGCTTTCTGTGACTTGGATGGTGTGGCTGGAGCACTTGCTGGTGAAGGCTGAGGCAAAAAAGTCATCGAGTACTTCAGTCTTCTCCATGTCCTGGGTAGCCAGGTCTCCCATTTCCTTCTGGAGAGGGCCCACATTTTCCCTAGTCTTTCTTTTATCTCCAGCATACCTGTAGAAGATTTTCTTGTTGCCTTTGACATCCCTGACCAGATTTAATTCTTCCAGGGCTTTAGCTTTCCTAATCTGATCCCTGGCTGCTTGGACAATTTCTCTGTATTCCTCACAGGCTACTTGTCCTTGCTTCCACCCTCTGTACACTTGCTTTTTGTGTTTGACTTTGTCCAGCAGCTCCTTGTTCATCCACGCAGACCTCTTGGTGCTTTTGCCTGAGTTCCTCTTGGTTGGGATGCATCGTGCCTGAGCTTGGAGGAGATGATCCTTGAATATTAACCAGCTCTCTTGGGCCCCTCTTCCCTCCAGGGCTTTATCCATAGTACTCTACCAAGCAGCTCCCTGAAGAGGCCAAAGTCTGCTCTCCTGAAGTCCAGGGTAGTGAGCTTGCTGCACACCATCCTTGCTGCCCTAAGGATCTTGAACTCCACCATTTCATCTTTGCTGCAGCCAGGGCTGCCCTTGAGCTTCGCATTCCCCACCAGCCCCTCCTTGTTGGTGAGAACAAGATCCAGCATAGCACCTCTCCTCGTTGGCTCTTGGAGAAGGAAGTTAGCAATTAATAGAATGTTTGCAATACTGTTTAGGAAATAAGAAACAGTCCTGCTTCCATAAAAGAGAAATAAAATAGGCAGTAACAAGGCCAATATTATTTTGAAAGATGGATGCTAAATGATAGAGTTGTTAGATTTGAACTGTCACATTAAAATGAACTGCAAGGGTATCTGACCGTTAAGCAAGTTACACTGGGACTGGGACTGGGGCCTAGACCAAATAGCAGATGACCATTAGAACATTCTTTGAAGGGAGGCAGTGAAGGACAAAGATGCTTTTAAGGATGGAATCTGATAGGTTGATGGGTGGAATTAAATTACATATTTGCCTGTAATAACAGGACACTGGACATGATGACCTAAGAGGTCATCTTGGCCTAGAAGACTCCATCCAGTCCTTTGTCCTATGTTCCCTTTATGTAAAGAAGCTGTTGAAATTTTGCATATATGAAACTTTGTATCTCTTTTGTTTCACCTTTTCTTTTACTACTATAACTTTGATATATATTTTGCCCATGGCAAATGCCAACCATAATGTTTTTGTCTTCCTTATGTTGTCTTACATTATTTATCTTTCTATATCTGAGCTCTGCAGACTTAGTTATATGCAGGGAGACAGAAATAGCTGTTATTGTGAAATGTGTATATGGTGGGATTTGCTTGAATTTAAGCATTTTTGCAGTATGTTTCTCAGGAACGCTGATAATTCATATTATTGTAACCTCTGTGGTGCTCTCTAGCCAAAGAAATCTGATGGCTTTTGGTGCACCAACCATTCACATTTCTTCTGTGAGGCTACTTCACTCTTGTTATCCAGTAATTGTTCCAATTTATTGGTGATACATTAACAAGTAGAAGGGACAATTGTGAAAGAAATATTAGGAAGTATGAGGAGCAGGATGTCCATCAGTTTCACTGGGCTGGAAGATCTCATGCAAAATATAATGCAACTGAGGAGAAGCTGCCTTGGGTGAAGATCTACAGTGTTTATGAAGTGTACTCAAAGCAGAGGAATAAGGCAGGAGTATGGGACCGAGCCGAGCAGGGGATGAGATCTAGGAATCCTTGCTTTGCACTAGGAGAAAGCCTTACTTCTCACAGTGATCCCAGGGTGCTGGTTGTTGAAGATGGAGACCTGGAGAGGAGAGTGTAGTTTATTGATAAGCCTCTACATTTATTCAAGTCAGTGGTGTCAGATTTATAAATGGATATATCACATCCTATACATAACGAAACCTAAATGGCCTTTTCACAAGGAAAACAAATCTAGCTTCCCAAATTAAAGACTTTGCACATGAGAATATGAAGATCTTTGTTTACATTATAAATGGTTAAAGTTTGTTTTTTATTTGCTTGTATGTGAAAGTGCCAAGTTTTGTGACAAATAGCAAATACATAGTTTCAGGTGTAATGTCTGGGCTGTATTTGAGTCTATGATAGTAGAAGGTTGTAATCCTTACTGAGCAGTTATAGTCTGTATAATTAACATTGTGTGTGATAAGTGAGCAACATCATGTGTTCCTGGATGAGTTTAAAAAAAATGAATCATTCTCTTTGTGTCTCTTATTCTTGGCTGTAATATCTGCATAGTAACAGATAACTAAACAAAGTATTGTACAAAGTGATGAAATTATGTTTTCTGGAGGTAGAAAGAACAAAAGTGTTAACTGATCTGTGTGGATAGCAGTGACTAAAAAATATTATCTGATTAACTAGGAAAAGAGTTTCAATATATACCTCTGTTTAAAATAAGAATTTTGGTAAAATGAAGAAACTAACAATATTTTAGAAAAGTATTGAAACAAATCTGAAGTTGGAGCTTCAATGATACAAGGTGGTGATATACTAACTTAAAATTTCTTCAAGTGTATTAGGGTGATTTAAAGAAATTCTGGTGATGTGGAAGGAAGAATAAGTCAATGAAAATTTCCACATCAAGATGGAAAAGTTGCAAGACAGTTTAAGATTAAAAGAAGACCTTGTTAAATAGCTTACGACTTTTTGAATCTCCTTGGTATGAGATAACACTGTCTCAAACTCCTTTATTAGGTAGAACTCTGTGGGTCCTAATTAAATAAAGGCTGATGTAATGAATAGTGAAAGTATACCACTACATACCTTTTAAGGATATTTCCAGGACCCTGTTCTACAGCATTTTCTGGTTTTAATGAATGCAAAGAATTCTATTGACCTGGGTGGAACAATTTGCTTAAGCAAAGGTATGGTATACTTCCATGTTTGCAGAAACAGAGCCTTTTTCCTCTCACAGAATGTGAAAACAGGAAAATCTCATGCAATTATGTAATTATAACCTTGTCAGTACAGCTATCATTAAGTGCTATGCAATTAAAACCTGTAAAATAAACTGCTGTGAGGTGTTGTACCTCCTTAGTCCTGATCAATACAACTTTCCCACTTACTGCAAATTCTAACTAGTAAAAAAGGTGTTAAATTATGTTGTCTTTCATTGTAATTTTTTTGTCTTTTACAGGAAAAAGTAGAATATGCCTTCCTGATAATTTTTACAGTTGAAACATTTTTGAAGATTATAGCATATGGACTATTATTACACCCCAATGCGTATGTTAGAAATGGATGGAATTTATTGGATTTTGTAATAGTAGTAGTAGGGTAAGTAACTTATCCTTCATTATACAAAGATTTAAAATCTTGTTTACAATGAGGTGGATATAGGTCTGTTCAGCTATGAGTAATGGCCTATGCTTGATTTCTGTTCCTTTGGAGTAAAAGAATGAACTGATGTGAGTGAAAAATTCAAAGTCCTAAAAGTTTTCAACGCTATCTGTTGCTGCAGACTGTGTTACACAATCAGCTTTATAGTAAAAGTTCCCAGGGAATTCTGAGTTCTGCCAAAAATTTTCCTTGGTTGTTTTCTTGCAGAATCTTTTCCATCTGATTTTTTTCAAGGTGAACTCCTAATGTCTTTCCATATGATAAAGGGTGATCTGTTTAGATCCATACATTGTTATTTCTTTTATTCATTTATCCCTATACTGCGGTTATGTGGAGTTCATCTGTTCTTCAAAGACCTCTGGGAGTACCTGTATGTTTTGAAATCTGAGAAAAATTGGACTTTCCTTTGGGGTGCTGCACATCAGGCCCCAGATATATATATCACTTTGACCTGCCTGAAGGAGAATGTACACTAAACATGCCTTCTTTTACCCTGTGCACCTTGCTGTACCAGGAAACCCTGAAGAGTTTGCTCTACTCTCCAGAGGAGGGACTGCTCGGGCCTTATGTAGGTTACAGAAGACTGGAGAGTGGGACATCCCACATTTACGTTATGTACCTGCTTATGATAAATAATGTTTTGTGTCAGCAACTTCGTGTCCGTGGTTGTGCTAGTTCATTAGAAGATCCTGCCTTCAGTGGTCTAGAGAATTAATCTTGAGCCGTATATTCCGCAACTCCCTTAAATATTGTGGAGATTATATTGAAAAAAAGGAATTTCCAGTACTGTAAACTTTGTTTACTGAGAATATTTATTATATGGGGAATATTTATTGTATGGAGAATATTTATTACATGGAGAACATCAGCCAGAACATACAAAGTTATGTGTGGATAGCTTGCAAAGAAGACCTTGGCATGCAGAATGCAATTCTAATTTCATTTTCAAGTTCAAACTATATCAAGGGTTGCCTGTAATTGAAAAGCCCCAGAAATTAGAGTGTGTGCTGTTCTTAACTCATGCCATTAAGGGAAAAGAAAAAGATGCAAAGTAAAGGAATTTGTGGTAAAGCATTATTAAATTTGGGCAAGTATTATCAATGTATGAATACTTGATTTATAACTATTTGATTCTGAGATAGTGAATGTTACTGAGAAGATTGTATTAGGGCCAGTTGCTTGGCATTCAGGCAGTTTTGGTCCAGGACTAAAATTTGTATAGAAATAGATCCTTCATCAGGTCAGGTCATTCTCAACAGATTGGCCTCTGTGCCTGAAGGGTTGGTGGGCAGGTGTGAAGACTATCACACAGAAAAGCTTTATTCTCTTGCCAGGCAGTCACTTGAATAGACCTCTTCCCTTTTTGTCAAGTGACCATGGAGTTACAGTAACCCTGGAGCAGTCTAATTAACATGACCTCTATCCTTGGCTGTGTCCTAAATACATTGTAATTAAAAACATTTCTGTTAACTCATATAAGACTCATTATTGGAGGCTAAATGTAGTTAGGTCAAATGCTTACACTGAAGCTGTGGAAAATACGAAGAAAAAAGGACTACATCTTATCAAATACCTAAAATATCACGCTAAGATTTAAATTCTAGCTCAAAACCAAAAGTTTTGGGATATAACTATTGTGTAGGTTGTCATCAGTCTACTGGGAAGACAAGGTGGACCTTTTATAACATGGCAGGCACTGACAAAACTGTGAGCAGTGTTTTTGTTCTTGCACTGTGTGAGGAATATTTTTGTTTCATCTTTTAAGAAGAGCACAACCCACATAAGCAAGTAAACAAGTATGAGTCCATTTATTTAATTAATACTTAAAAGCCCAGTGAAAAAATTGATTTTTCATGTATAACCCAAGGTGGATATGGAATCACTTCTGGATCTGATTCTATCTGACTAGTTTCATTGTGAAATTTCATTAGGTATTTTAATAACTTTGAAAGATCTGCCATGATGTCCTATATTGAATGTATTAGATGGAATTTGCTCTGTGTGCTTTTTCAGCAGAAACTGTAGCCGTCCAAACGCATCAGTCTTAATTATATGAAAAGAAACTTCTACTAGCAAAAGGAAAGCATGTATAGAGACTTTTTTCCACAACATCAAATTTGGCTTTTAAACTTTGGTAAACTGTACAGAAAAATGAGTGTCAATTTTAATAAAGGAGATCAATAGTTTTATACCTTAGTGGCTTTATAGGATAGACATAAAGTGACAGAGCTGTAGACATAGCTGTGAGTATGATGTTTTCTCCTGTCTTTGTCATTGCTCTTAAACCAATCAGAGTATGAATTACTTGCAGAACAGTCTACCGCTTGCCCACGCGCTATATATGTGCTGTATGCACATAATTTCCATTGATCTCTGTGAAAGAATAAGATGCTGGTATAGAAAGCTTTCGTAAAACCTTTCATGCCTGTAGCCCTTTAATTTTCTGAATGAGGTATGAACTGACAGGCTGAAAGCAGCTTCTCTTAATTTGGGACTTGATTCAGAAGTCTGTTTAATCATGTCTGCCTTTAGAACATGAATAGTCACTCTGAAATCATTGAGGTGGCTCATTTTCTTAAAATGATGCTTCTGTTAAATTGTAGGGCTGAATCAGGACCTGAAATATTAAATGGCTGGATTTCTATGGTTATAGCAATGTGTAGGTTGCTGGTACTCATTCTAAGATCTGTAGTCTTTGTGGCTGGGTTTCACTCTGAAGGAGAATAAAGCAGAATAGTGATGGGTATTGACTGATACAAGTCAGTTGCTTACTGGGGGAAGAGAAAGTCTTCAATATTCTAGTTTGGGCAACCTATTAAACATTACATGATTTCTAGCAACTATCCAGCATGACAGAGTTGTGAAAAATTTTCCTGGGAAAACCAAAAACTTGCACATTTCAGGAGTCCTTTAGAAGTGTGAAACATTTTTCAGGATTGCAGAACTGTATTGACTTGATAATCCTTTCAGGAGAAGTTCAGTTTTGCAACTACTGAGCTACAGATTCTGTGCAAAGGTTAATATGGTTTGCTTGGTCTAGCCAAAGTCTAGAAAACCATGCATCTGAAATGCAGGTCCAAACTGAAATAAACCTAAGATTACTTTGCACTTCAACCACTTGTATTGCTTTGAATTGCTACTAGAAGTGGGAAAGAAAAATAAACTCTCTTGCAAACTGTTTCTGCAGTGAAGAAATACAATATAATAAATGAGTTATCTGGTAATATTTTTATACTGAAAGATATCATGTGTAAGAACCAAATCTTTTTGGTGTTATTAAATGTTAGATTCTGATTGTTTTTAATATATTCATTTTTTGCTAACTGTGGTTAGAATACTCGGCTGTAGTGTCACTTGGAGTTCATATATTCCACCAAAGTTAAAACAGATGCTTTCTAGTGATTGTCTATTTCATGTTCTAAGGATAAGACTGATTCTCCAAAACTTACAGCTAAACTGTTTGAACAAAGACATAGCAAAGTAGCTTCATTTATTTAAAAATAGCAGATTGTGTATACAAGCAGAAGGCTAATTTATTGGATACTATGTGATCATCACTCTCTGGAGGGATTAGAAACTCTTGCACTTCATAACTCTTCCTGTCATGATTCAGTGTGTAAATATACCTCTCATTTTGACAGCTGAACAGCTTTTCAGAATTATCTGCAGTTCAAGTAATTTCTTAATACCTTTGATTGCGTGGTAAACGGATGGTGATCACCTTACCTTTCATCTCTTTTTCTAGATTATTTAGTGTAATATTGGAACAATTAACCAAAGAAACAGAAGGTGGCAGCCACTCAGGTGGCAAACCTGGTGGCTTTGATGTCAAAGCCCTAAGAGCCTTTCGTGTATTGCGACCTCTCCGGCTTGTATCAGGAGTGCCCAGTAAGCTCTTTTCTATTTAATTCCATTGGAACGAATACTGTAACTGATCTGATTATTTAACATTCTTGTTCCAGACACTGACAGAAATGGGATAATATAAAGTTGATTTTTTGCTAACTGGTTATGTATATAAAGTGAGTTTCAAGATGAACAATACCCTCTTTCAGATTGAACAAAGAATTGTGAATTCATTCAGTGTATGATCTTCTTGCACAGTTTAATAAGCAGACGGGGAATACATTTCCTTTTTAGAAACTTTATATAAAGGTAAATTACATGTTAAAATACAATACACCAGAAAATAAAATTCAGATTTATTTTTTTTTATTCCCAAACCCCGCAGATCTGAAAGTGTAGGTGGTCCTAAAATAGTTTATATGTTGGTAAGTGTATGCCAGAGCACATTACACAGTTCATATTTCCTGCCCCCTCCAATGCACATGAATGCCTTCTGTTTATCTCAGTAGACCTAACAGATAAATTAGGAAATTTAAAAAATAGAACAATATTATTTAAAGAAGGCAACTGAATTTTCTGATAATCTTTCCTGTTTTCTTTTAACGTTATTAACTACTGAAGCTATTTGGGCTGAATAAAAGGTTTATGGCTTACAATTCAGCTCTTTCTAGGACATTCAAAAGAAGAATCCTAGTGCTGTGTTTATTATATCATCGTCTGTTGCATGGAAATAATCGTGATGGTATATATTTAGCAAAAGAACTTCAGTGAAGAAAGGAGGAGTCTTATGAAATGTCAGAAAGGAAGTCTATTAAAATAAAAATGAGGCATATTTTGTTCTCATTAGTACTGTGGCAGCTTCATTAGTCTAGGATTTACTTCTCTTGGTAAAACCAAAATTTGGCTAAATGTTTAATTAAGGAGAAAAGAAAAGAAAAATGGAGTAGTTCTGAAAGAGATGTGAGGGACGAATGGTGAAAAAGTGAGTTTCTTCAGGGTAAAATGTGTTTTCCCAGGTAACTAACTATCTTTCCAGACCAAAAATACGGTTCTGTGATTGGCTGAGTGTACATTTTCTCAGGACTTGCCAGAAGTTGTGGTTGTAGCACTGAACTTTTTAAAGGTCATATAAAATGACCTACAGCCACACACTGACTGCATGCCCTCTCTTTCTAAAAAAACCATAAATTCTTGTGCCACATTTCAAGCATTGACTTCTATGACATAACCTTTATTAACAGAGGAGGTAGGTAGACTTTGACATAAAATTTTAGATTCTTATGAAGTATTTTGTTTTACAGGAACATTTTGTGCTTCTGGGCAGTAGAAATTTTTTTAAAAAACTGATTCACTCTATGTGCCTGTATCATAATTTCTAATAATGTGTAATTATAGAAAATTTGGTAAAGCCAGGCAAAGAAGTCTGATTCATATCTTGTATCTTCTTTTTTTCTTTTAGGTTTACAAGTTGTCCTGAACTCCATTATAAAAGCCATGGTCCCCCTCCTCCATATTGCCCTTTTGGTATTGTTTGTAATCATAATCTATGCTATTATAGGATTGGAACTTTTTATTGGAAAAATGCACAAATCTTGTTTTCTTATTGATTCAGGTAAGTCATGAAACTGTTGACTAAAACAAGGGATTAATTCTGTTTTCTTTCAAGTCCATGGGATTTGAGTTTGAAATAGAACAGGGACCAGAGCACTAAAACTGTTGTAACCTCGGTTTTCATAATTTAGGAAGAGTACATTAAATTTAAAAAACAACAACAAAAATGCAAACCAGTTAGAGACTAGAACATGGTCTTAATAGGTTTCCATTTCTGAAATGTGTAACTGAATTGTCAGTAGTGAAAATAGTAATGGTGACTATCCACAAGGGACAACTTGGTAGTTTTTTCTAATCTCTGATTACTGGAAAGCTAGCTAGTCCTATTCCAGGGAAGATACACTTTCCTGAGTTCATAATCTGACAGTGTCTGTCCTTCAAGATTGTGGCAGTGTGGTAAGGAGTGCAGTTCTGAAATGAGTAAAGAAAGAAAACAGTCTTCCTTCATCCAGGTGAAATGATGAAATTAAAGTGTTTGTTACGGGAGAATTTTGAAGGAACAAAGCATCACGAGAGAGAGATCTTATCTGATGGCTAAGAGTACATTTCTATCAGCTAAGCAATGAAGTAGACTATATGTAAGAATTAGTCCAGACCTGTTTTCCTTGGTGGTCCATATGTTAGTATGAAGTGGCATGAAGTGAGGAAACAGCAATGGAGAGAAAAAAAAAATTAGCATGAGGAGACTCTAAAAAGTTATTTTGTATTATTACATGCTTCTTTCCACTGCTTAATTACTCAAGCTCTTTTGTAAATTCAGTTTTGATTAACCTATTTAAGGTTGTAAGGCCCAGATGTGAGAGAGACTGAAAACTCTGAAGCTCCTGTGGATTGCCTTTCTCAGCATTTCTCAGGTTGATATTGGATTTACCTTCCAACAGGGTTAATATTTCTTCATGCGAAGAACTAACTCACAAAAATTTGAGAACTGAAAGTTCTGATTTTTTTGGTTAATTTTCAGATATCCTTGTTGAAGAAGATCCAGCACCTTGTGCATTCTCAGGGAATGGACGTCAGTGTGTCATGAACGGCACTGAATGTAAGGGTGGATGGGTTGGACCAAATGGAGGCATAACCAACTTTGATAATTTTGCATTTGCAATGTTGACTGTCTTCCAGTGTATAACCATGGAAGGATGGACTGATGTGTTATACTGGGTGAGTTCATAAATCATTGAGCTTTGTTTACTTTTAAACAAGCTTCAGTGTTCAAGTGAGAAATAAGCTATGTTTTACAGTATTTTGAAATCTTGGAGAGTTTTCCAGGAGACGAGCTCAGCTGCATACTTTTTCCAGTCACAGCATTTTACTGGACTCCTCAGGCTAAAAAGACATTTTAGAAACAAATTTATTCATTGCTTATTTGAGGTTTTTTTGCCTATTCCATTTGGATAAATGTAATATACATTTATGTCCTTTGGACTAGGATTTTTTTTGTGCAAGCCTACAGTTTTTAATCATCTTTTCTGATTAAGCTTAAGAGCTCTCTTTTTGCAGTATTTCTGCAAAATATTTCACATTATTAACATAAATTAGAACAAAGAAGGCTCTCAACTGTCACTGCTTGCCATGGGGACTGCAAACCATTCAGAAACAACAAATCACAAGAGCTTTGAACCTGACATTGTCCCTGTAGAAACAGCAAAAGGTATAAAAAAAACCTAACTGTGTAAGTCCCTGCCTTTAAATGCATTAGGTATGGAACCTCCACAATCTTACAACATAAACAGACAGCTGGACACAGACTGGGAAACTGAAGATATATTTAGTCCTGATTTTACAAATGAGAATGGAGGAAAAAGAACACGCAGATTTTCAAAGGAATAGGGTCACCTAAATATACGGGTAGACATTTCTCTGCCTAACTCCATTCCAATCTAAGGACATTACATTCTTTTGTGAATCTTTAAGCACCTAAGTATCTGATGTGAGTGATTTGTCCAACATCATTCAAGAAGTCTGTGCCAAAACCAACCTACCATAGGTACTGAAAATCAATGAGAATATTCTGTACTACTTGGTACTCAGCAGTAAGTCTTTGCAGCAATTAGGACCTTACAACAAATATAATTCTAACAGTTCAAGTGTTGGCAAATATTTGTGAAAGAAGAAAACTGATTACTAGTAAGGATCACTATTAGCAAGCTATTAAAAATGGATGAGCTATCTGAAGATGTATCTTAATGGAACTTTACTCTAGGTTATGTTACTCACAGCGGCTCACATTTTGAATTTATTTAAGTTTGTCTGGCCAAGTGGTACTGTTTACTAATAGCACATCTGTTGTGAAGTATTGGATGCAATTAAGGATATAGTGTTACCTAGTGAATGAACACTTAATTTTATGTGGTCATTTGTTGTAAATCAAGGTGAAATATGCTGTCACTAAAAAATACAACACCAGAGTGTAGTCTTAGATAAAATCTGTGATACTAGAATATAGAATATGGGGATGTTTTTAAGATAATGTCATTGTTAAAGATAATTAAGGTGGTAAACTGGCATTCTTTTAGGATTGGAAGACAAAAAAAAATTTCGCAAAATACGAATCTCTGCTTTCACTGTTACCAGAGATACAAAATTGGCTCTAAACATGCAAACCTTCAATACTAAGGAGTCTAACAATAATGCATTGCTACATATAGGCTAATGTATTTTTTTCTCATAGTATAGGTTTATCAACTCTTTGAGTTTTGTTCTCCAACTCTTCCTAATTTTCTCAAAGAGACTGTGTGAATGTAGAATTAGTATGTGCTTTATATGATTTGTGTTCATGACGATGACAGTTACTTTTATCCCTCCTGAAAGAACAGGGAAGGTTTGCCATGATTCTCCAGGAAAAAACCCAACACATTTAACATCTTTCAAGGCGAAAGTATGCCCACATTTCAGTACCTGATAATTCCTCCAACTATTACCAATTTTTTTTGAGAAAATTAATGTAAAAACTTTGGGAAACTGTATTTAGAATATGATTGTTACAAAAGATACAGAAACAGTTTAAGCTGAGTGGCTTAGTGGCTCTTTCCCCTAAGAATTAATGAGCTAATTGATCTGATGCATCTTAAGAAATCTTTGTAGAGTCTCCATTGACAGCACAAAAAATAAGACCATTAAAATAGGATGCTGATTATTGTCATGATCAGACAAAATGCAAAGCCTAAGAAAATTAAAAATTCAAAACTGCACATGTGAGTGAGTTTATTTCTCCATAACGAGTTCCCAGTATAGAATATATTTACAGGTATACAGATGTCAGTTTTCATTTTATTACAAATGATACTGGGATTATTAGACAGAGAAGCAGATATTTATTGACGTATTGAAATATGATCAAAGTAAGATATTAAGTGGCTTTGGAATCTGTTTTAACTTATGTTTATATAATTAAATTATAGATCTGGATTCTTTCTGTCTGTAGATCAACAAATTGCTCATTATCAAGGTGAAATTACTTGCTGAGGATAAGAGGAATGATGATTTAAATGTTTTAATTTTACCCATGTTTTAAGCTGAGGTAGATTTTAGCTATTGCTAGCTGAAAATTGGAAAAGATTTTGTTTTAATTGCAATTATGAAAAACATTAGGGGTATAGCAGACTGTAATAAAAATGTCCAAGGAATCTAAGGACACCATTTTAGCTAGAGGTGCATGGGTTTTGTGGGTTGCTTTTTACTTAGAAATGTGTTGATGGTACGCAGACTGAATGAGTTTTATACAAAACATAAACAACTAAAACCAAACCCACAAATATTAGAAACTGCACAAAATTCTGATTTCCATATGGTCACTGTGTGAACAGTAGTATTAACTATGTAGATTTATCTTGCTAGCAGGTGTAATCTGAGTGGGTGAAATATATGCAATATTTTGCATCATGCTATGTGGCATTCTGTTAGCAAGAATGACAGCTGAAAATGACAGCTTCCAATAACACTCACTAGTGCAGCTTGTTATCACCTGGATAACAACAGTAAACTTGGCTTAAAAATCCTCCAAGCATCAATAATGTTTTTTCTTTTGTGCATACCTATTATAGGTTGAGGACTTGATCCTGCTGCTGCTAGGTACCCTTTAGATCCTGGTGACTCACATGGGCATCCTGCTGCTCACCAGTTTGCATCTGAATCCCATATGTCCTATTATTTTTTAGAGTGTCTTCATCTGGCTACTTTTCTCTCTCTAACTTAATGTGTAACTCACTGGATGGCATGTATTACATGTTTCATCCACAAAAAAGGTGACTTCTTAGTGCCAAATGCTAGACTTAACTATAGAGGTTAAGGGGTAGTGCCCTTGTTTTCAACAGCCAGTGCAGCATATGTGTTCGCAAATTGTATGTGATTGTGACTGCACATCTGTACATTATTTCCACTTATATCAGGATTGTCTTTATTCTCAGTCCCAGTCCTTTCTGTTTGTTTGCTCTCTAGCCCTAACTGAAGGCCTTATGCTGTTAGTTTTGGATCCCAGTAGAGTCCTTGTTATTGGCAAAATGGCAGCTTCTGTGTGCCCAAGTTTTTAATGCTCTGGCTCACGTTCTAAAGCTGAGAGCATAGTATTCTTTGCCTCCTTTTCAATTTATGCTAGCAAGCACTCAAGAATTACAAAATCTGAGCCTGCATTTGCATATTTGGCTCAAGATTTTTTCCATGTCTTTCAAACATCTAGATTTATAGTCTATTCATGGCAAACACATACTTTGTAAATTGCTTTTTATTTTTAGCTGTTTCACTTGATATGTAGCTATTTCACATAATGAGCAGTGGTACTTGCCAGTAAAACCCCCAATTTTCCCATGAGTACCAAAATTATCACATTTAATTCTTCTTGTTTTCACCATAGTGAAGTTATCTTGAGTTACTACACTTGAATAATCTACACTGTCACTACTGTAGCTTGAATGAGAGATGGGCAGGGCCTCTGTGAAACAAGCTACTTTATGTGATGGGTTGCCAGAACAGTTGATTCAGTGATGGAACAACTATATTAGTGGCTACTGAATTTTACTAAGTCAGTATTATGGACAGACATTGCATTACTAGCCCAAATATTAACAGCTCCTCAGTTCTCTGACACCTAGCTGGCACTATTCAGATTGATCTGGAGATTTTTGAGATTGAAGCGCTCAAGCTGAAATTGCTGAATAATGGTACATTGATGTCTTACATGGTTTTGCCTATTAATACACCTACTGATATGTTAACAAGATATTCTGTCAAGGATTCATGTTTAAAATACACAATTCATTACTTGAAATGTCTAAGCAATCTCAAATATATCTAAAACTTGCATAAAGTTTAAAGAAACGGGTATCTTCTTTTCTAATATACCGGTTACTAATATGTCAGCTTCTTAAACTGTGTCCTTTACTACTGTTTGATAGTATCATATGTTATCATCAAAGAAATAATTCATTCATAATTCCTCTGCTTTTATAACCAAAAGAAGTGTACGCTTAGAAATCTGTTTCTTACTCAAGAAATTAAGCTTTATATGTCCCAGTATACTCCTTGAAGCATCTTAGAACATTTGAAGAAAATCTGTCATTTCTGTATCGCAGACTGTTTAGGCTGCACTGCACTTTTGAGTATGTGTAGTATGCAAGAGTCTACACAGCCATTGCATTAATGTTACTAGAAGCAACATATCAAGATAGAAAAGACTGTATCGATATTTAAATTTATTTCTATAACAAAGTACAAGAGTAGTGGCTTCCTTACTGGCTTTCCAATAGTGTGAGATGGCTTCCTTTACTGTGCATAAACTAAAAGGTAGAAAATCACTATACATTTGTTTTCTAACTGGATGAGGATTTGAAAAAATGATTAAGACTCCCACATAAACCTATGCATAGAAAATAAAATAATTACAAATAATCACAGTAATAAACCAAAGCAATCTATTGATTTCTCAGAACGTCAGTCAGATGATCAGAAGCTCAGACAATCTTCTAATCATACCATGAAACCAGCTGATGTGCAGCCAAAGATTTTTCCTAAACACAAGCAAATATTTTGCAAATACATCTGACAAGAAAACCCCTTGGCTCGGGCACAAAATGTATTATTAGTCCATAAACAAAAAGTTGCAAAGTGTTTGAAGTATTATCAAAATTGTCATCAGAGTGCTGAGCAAGAATCTCTAAAAAAATAGC